ATCAACATTTTATCCACCTCCCCACGAATCGCTTCCTGAACCTTAGGCGACACTAAATAACAACGCTGCCTAATCGGCGTGTGAGTCCCGACGTCGATACGATGTTCTGTGAGCGACGTTACACCGGGACTCTCAGCAGCGGGCGGTATAGCCTGTTCTAAAAATTTTCCTAAATCCTGACATTCGGTACGCGACAACTCCGAGACCCCGCAACAGATTTTCTCTTGTCCGCGCTCGTTATAAAAGGGATGACGGATCCCAGCGTCACTCGCGAACGACCACTCGCTCCTCGAAAAATCCACAATCATGCCAAACTGAGCGAGGAAGTCTATACCGAGAATAATCGGTACCGCGAGATTCGGTAATAGCCCGACGGTAAAAGAGTGTGCTTGTCCCTGCAACTCGATAATTAATTCCGCCGACCCGCACAGCGACACCAAAGATCCATCCGCCAAGCGGATACGAGAATCTTCGCCGCGCGTAATCGGTAGCCCCAATTCTCTGACTAGCTCGATACCCTCATCACCAAAAATGGTTCTATGCGAACCGGTATCGAGCAGTCCGAGAAGACAATTTCCGTCAACGAAAAATTCGAGATATTGCAGGGACGCACCTCCACCCACCTGACGCGCTCCAAATGATCCGTCTATCACCTTTGTGGGGGTCTCGGGATCGGGAGAAGGCGCAGGGACCCTGTCTACTGCCTTCTTCCCCCGTTTCCCGAACACCGAGGACACGTCCGCACCGTTTGTTGTGCCTTACCACAACGATAGCAATGTACGCGCGGGGCTTCGCCGCAATCGCGCGCGAAATGACCCGTCGCGTCGCAGTTCCAGCATTTTGCTGAACTGCTTCGCGAAACCGGTCGCGAGGTAGGCGCCTCGGCGGTTTCCCGCGAGGCCCCGGCTCTCGCCCCCGCCCCCGCATCCCCCGTTTGGGCGGCCGGCTGTTGGGTCGCCCTTACGTGAGTCTGCGGGGTCGCCCTCACCGGACGACGCGTCGCCTCAGCGGTGCGCGGACGCTCCCCCCCACTAAAGACTTCCGATCCCCTGGATCGGAAATCCGATACATATTCGGCCGTCATGGTCGTCGACGGCCTCGCGGAACGAGGGGGCGGCCGATACGCTAAGTCGGGACACACGGAACGCTTTGGTGGTGACGGCGCACGATACTGACTCGCGGCGATATAACTCCGTTCCACCTTCGTCGCGAGTCTCTCTAGCGCGTCAAAATCCGCGAAATCGTCTCGAAGCACTGAAATTTGTAGTCGCGGTAACATATTTCTGTGTGCGTAGTTGAGCTGTTCGACCTCACTCCACGCTGGACTAAGGCGACCGAACAGCTCCAACATACACGTCAGATAATCCGCGACTGGCTCGTGCTCACCCTGCGTCCGACGCATGATCTCGTCGCGTAGCGCGAATTGGAAATCCGGATTTCCAAATCTCCCTCGAAACGCGCTCGCGAACTCTCCCCACCTTTCCCATCGCGATCTCTTGGTGCAAAACCATTGCAAGGCGATACCGGTAGGAAAGAAAGGTAAGCATTTTAGCAAATCTTCGTCGCGGATGGACACAAGCTCGCGGTCCTCCTCAATTCTAATGAGGAAGGTTTCGACATCGTTACCACGTGCTCCCGAAAAGTTTATATTCCAGCGACGCATGGTGTTGTATGCATCGCTGGCCGATAAATAACGCGCACCGGTAAAAGTTTCGTGCTCGCGCGAGGGTGGTTGAAACGCGGCCGACGGTACGAAAGCAGGCGGTATCTCCTGCGGAGGCCACGACGGGCGCGAAGGCCTGTAGTTTAGCGACGGCTGGGGGGCGTTAGAAGGTGGTGGAACGATACTAGGCGACGGGGCACGAGAAGGCGGTCTCAAAAACATGTCTGTTTTTGACGGTAATGACCTCACCACACGGGGGTCCGATAACGTTTGGTCCAGTTTGACTGGACCCGGTAGTTCCCGCCCTTCTGCCCGTACGCCCTCGTCCACAAAATTCTTCTCTTCTAATGATGTGAAATCGGGACCGATCGCGTCCTCCGCCGGCGAGGGTGGAGGAGGATCCCGACGTCCCGCACGCTCGTATCGCGCGATCCGACTCCTAAGGGCCTGAAGGGACCCTGTGGCGACTAGACCGCGTGCGATCGTCTTGTCCTGGAGTTGTTCCAGCGACAGTTCCCGCACCCACGCATCAACATCGCCTGTCTCCGGCATCGCGATCTAACCGACTCACGAGATACTTTAGACGAAAATTAATTCCGATACTAAATATAGCTATCAATCGTTTCGCCGCGCACCACCACACGTGAAAGCTTATTTCTCGTCGCGGGACACCCGGTACGTTGCGTCGCTGTCGAACCAACGCAAGAAGCGGCGCAAAAACTGACGCGACTCGTCTCGCCACAACACTCGCGTTCCCGGTACAGTCCGCACAATTATCCCAGTCGCACGCGATATTGAAATTCGGGAGACGCACTGCTGTAAAGGGGGTATTGCTCCGCTAAAGATAATTGATTAATGGCACAACGAACGAAATTGGTGGAGAGGGACCGATATAGTATCTCCAATTACTCAATAAAATTATCACAATTACCTTAAATTATAAGTCACCACAAAATAAGATAGCAAGACTACACACACAAAAAAATTATCCGCCCGACACGACACTATCAGTAAATGTTCGACACAATAAATCTCTTTAACGTTAGCGAAACGGCGACACGAAGTAAGGACAAAGCAACCCGGCAATCCCCGAAAATATTCTCACTAAATTATGTCACCAAACAAATAATCGAGGCTGTTCAAGGGCACCTCAGCCGCGATAATAATCTGATCGAGATTCAAAACCGATCGCGAACAAGAGAGAAGAAAGAACAAAAAAAAAATCTTTGAAGATACTGTGTCGTGTCGGAAATGCGGTATGAGAACACAAACAATATCAAGAGACCTTATCGATACCAAACACAATATCGATGATCTACACCAAGCGGTCGCGAGGTCACGAGAACTCGATGAGGAAAAGACCGCGATAGACAAAAAGAAAACAACGAAAAAGCGATACTTTCCTTCCTCAAAGTCCGTCTTTGTTCTAATAATTTCGCGATACCGACGTCTGAATTTTTCCGTTCTTTCCCACGACTAAATGAAAAAAGGGCCCCACGTTGGGCGCCAAAAATGATTCGGGAACGCTATGCACCCCCTTCCCCTTTTTCCGGTCTGCGCGAAATCACACGAACGGAGCTCTTTTGCCCTTGTGACGGGCGCTCTACGGCTGCCACGTCACACTGGACATGATCCAACCAATGAAGGTAAGATCTGGACATGATCCAACCGGTCAAGGCAAGATCTGGACATGATCCAACCAGTGAAGGCAAGATCTGGACATGATTCAACCAGTGAAGGCAAGATCTGGACGTGATCCATGATCCGGTCGATTCCTCCCTGGGGAGGTCATCCCTCCGGCGATCCGCCCCCCTCCCCCTTAAGGGCCAGCGAGCGGAGATTGAGCCGGCGCGGAAATATGAAGGCCCGAAAACTCTCATGCCTAACGATCTTACAGCGGTGCTGGAGACCCTTCTCCCCCAATTGATGGCCCGTATGGGCTTCACATCTGCTGGGGGAACTGGGGTGGGAATGCCTCCTTCCAATCCTGGCTCCGCCCTCCCGGAAAGGGAGCGTTCCATTTTAGAGGGAAGGGACCGAGAGCGCCCCCGATCCTCGCACCCGCCCTCTGCTGGGGAGGGGACTGCGGCTAAGCAGTCTCCTACCTCTGTATCCACTGGCGGTGTGAGGACCAAGAAGAAGAAAACAAGGGGAGAAAAAGGGGGGCGGAAGCCCGGGGAACGGAGATCAAGCCGGGTTCTTCTTCTCTTGCCTCCCTCCTCCCTCCTTCCCTTGACTAAGGAACAGACAAGGAGGACTCCTGCTCCCCCTGTCAAGGGGGTGGAAGTTGATGCGGAAAATGGAGGGACTTTATTGCCCCCATCTCAGCAGAGTGGTGGACAGCCTGCCTCTCAGCAGGCGCAATGGACCACGGTGGTTGGCCGACGGAGAAAGGGTCAACTGGGGTCTACTTCCCCGGTCACCAAGGGGGACAAGGGGCGGGGACCCGCGGGGGACCCCAGCCAGCCCTCTGCCCCCTCGCAGCGGGGTGATCAGCACACAAAGGCCTCATCGGAGGCCAAGAGGCTTCGGGCTCCGAGAACCGCGGCGGTCTGCATCACTTGCCCTAGCTGAAAGTATGCAGACACGCTTAGGATCGCTAAGGAAAATGTGTCGTTGAAGGAGCTCGGCATCGACGTCCTCAAGAACAGGCGCTCGATCACCGGGGCCCTGCTTTTAGAGGTCCCTGGACCGGATGGTGAGAGGGAGCTGATCGCCTGGCTGCCAAGTTGAGGGAGGTGTTGGCTGAACAACAGGACACTAAGGTGGATAGGCCCATCAAAACAGCGAAGTGTCGGGTCAGGGACCTTGATGATGCCACGACCGCGGCTGATGTTGTCACGGCGGTGGCGGAATATGCGGGCTGTGACCCGACTTTTGTAAAGGCCTGGCCCCCCTTCATGCCTCCTAGAGGGCTGTCCACATGCCGGGTGAGGGCGCCGATGGCGGTGATCAAAAAGATCGTCGCGGCGGGGCGCATTAGCGTTGGCTGGTACCAGTCCAGAGTGGAGCTTCTGACTGCGCGGCCACTCACCTGCTTCAGGTGCTTGGAGGAAGGCCATACCCGCAGCCAGTGCCAAAGCACAGTTGATTGCTCTGGTCTGTGCTATCGGTGCGGCGGAGTTGGCCACTCGGCCAAGGAGTGCACCGGACAGGTCTGTTGCCCGGTGTGCTTTATGGGTGACAGGTGATGCACCGCTTGGGTGGGGAGGCCTGCCTCTCTGCCCAGAAAAGGAAAGGGAGGAGGTTGGCTCGAGGGAAGGCCCAGAGCCATCCTCTTCCCACAGCAGTGGTTCTGGGACCGCAACATCTGCGACCCCGGAGACTGGGAAGGAGAAAGGGAAGGATAACCCCTCCCACCCATTGAGAAAAGGCCACCCAGGGGAGAACTACAGTCTCCCCTCCATCTCGGGTGAATCCCCCGGGACTATCCCCGGAGGTGGCGGAAGAGGTGATGGCGAAAGCGGGGGCTGCTCCCCCTGTAGCAAAGAAGGGGGTCCCCCATGGAAACAAGGAGGATAGCCTGGAGGAGGGGACTGCTAATGCTAAAACTTAAAAATGGCGACCAAACTCCTCCAGGTTAATCTGAATCACTCGCAGAGGGCACATGATGTGCTGTATCATGCCCTCGACGAGAGAGATGCAGGGTCGGCGGTCGTCTCGGAACCCCACCACATCCCAACACAGGATGACAGGTGGTTTGGCTCCAGAGGCGGCCACCCGGGCGCGGCCATCCGCTGGCGGCCGGGAGATAGGTTTCCGCTGCCCATATTAGTGCACGCGGAGAGGTATATTGTGGCGGTGGAGTGGGGCGCCTTGTGCGTAATTTCGTGTTACGTTCCCCCCTAATTCGGCCAAGTGGAGCAGAGCCCGCTTTGGGGGGTACCTCGAGCAGATAGGGAGGATTATGGACAGATGCCTCCTCCGTCCTGTTTTAATGTTCGGTGACTTTATCCATGCCAGGGAATGGGGCTGTCGGCGGGACGACGTTCGGGGCGCCGACCTCCTGGAGTGGGCGGCGGCTCGGGGGCTGGTCGTGTTGAACCGGGGTTCCGTCAGCACCCTGGTTCGTCAGTAGGGCGAGCCAGTCATCGATTTGACGCTTGGGACTCGCCCTGCAGCACGACTTGTCCGGGGCTGGAGGGTGGCAGTGGACAGGGATATTCTGTCCGACCACTTTATAGTGGAGATGGTGGTTGCTGCCACCCCCCTGGAAATCCTGGCCCGTCGTGTGGGGGGTGAATGTGCAAGGCCCCGCAGATGGATGCTCCACCGCCTCGACGCGGACGCCTTCAAGGCGTCGATCGCTGCCTCTTCCTAGGCGGGTGAGGCAGAACTTCCCCTGCTTTACACTCGGGAGAAGATTGAGAGAGAAACGGCTGGACTCGGGAAGGCAGTTATCACAGACTGTGATGCTGCCATGCCCCGGGTCCGTCTCACGCCCCGCCGTGCTGCCTACTGGTAGACTGGAGAGGTGGCGGCCCTGCACAAGTCGGTCGTATGCCTCAGACACCTGATCCAAAGGAATAAGGCTGTGCAGCGGGGCAGTATAGAATGGAGGTTGGCGTGCAGGTCCCTGCGAGCCGCGCGCAAGGACCTGCGCAAAATCGTTAGCAAGGCCAAGGCTGAGTCCTGGCAGCAGCTTCGAGGGTCTCGACCGGGACCCTTGGGGGCGCCTTTATAGAATGGTGCTACAACGACTGAAGCCCAGGGCACCCCCAGCTACGGAAGAGCTGGACCCCCAGGTCCTGGATGAGGTGGTGGGGACTCTGTTCGCGGCGGCGGGGCCTCCGCCCCTGCTGTATGAGGGTCTCCCACCGGATTGAACGGAAGACCTGGGGGTCTCCAAGGAGGAGCTCTCGGCTGCTGCCAAAAGGCTCGGGGGCAAAAGGAAAGCTTCTGGACCGGACTGCACGCCAGGCAGGGCGTGTGCTTTGGCCATGCCGGATCTGCACCCCCGGTTGAGGCGGCTTTTCACGAGCTGCCTCAAAGCGGGGGTCTTTCCCAGTCAGTGGAAGAGGGCGGGGCTGGTCCTCATACCCAAAATGGGCCGGCCCCCTAGTACTCCGTCCGTTTACAGGCCCATTTGCCTGCTGGACGAGGCGGGTAAGCTGTTTGAGCGGGTCATAGCTGCCCGCCTCGTGGGGTATCTTTCCCGGAACGGTCCCGATTTATCGGACAGCTAGTTCGGATTCCGCGAGGGCAGATCGACTATGGATGCGATTCTTAAGGTCAGAGCCCTCGCGGAGGAACATATGGAGGAGGGGGTGGGTGGCGGTGGCGGTGTCGCTGGATATTACCAATGCATTTAACACCCTCCCCTGGGACCAGGTGGAGGCGGCGATGCGGTACCATCGCTTCCCGCCCTACCTGGTCCATATAGTTAAGAACTACTTCCGGGAAAGGAGGCTGGAGTTTATCGACAAGTCGGAGCTTCAGCGCGGACGGGGTATGTACTGCGGGGTTCCGCAGGGGTCGGTGTTAGGACCCCTGCTGTGGGACCTCGCGTACGACCGGGTCCTCAGGACCGCCCTCCCCTGGGCAGCTCCATGGTCGGCTATGCCGACGACACACTGGTGCTGTCTGGGAGAGCTGACTAGGAAGAGGCGGTGGCCAACGCTAGCGTGGCCACGACGTGTGCGGTGCGCTCTATAACAGGGATGGGCCTTAAGGTGGCGCCACAGAAGACTAAGGCGATGTTTATCCATTGCTCTGGTCTGGCCCCACCTAAGGCCCATATAATGGTGGAGAACACCCGCGTGGAGGTGGAGCCCGCGGTCAAGTATCTGGGGCTCCACCTGGATGGCTCCTGGGGCTTTGCCACTCATTTTGAGAAGCTGAGCCCCAAGCTGGGGAGGGTGGCTGCCATGTTGAACTGTCTCCTCTTCAATATAGGTGGTCTGAACAATCGTATCCAACGGCTGTATGTGAACACTGTCCATTCAATGGCCTTCTATGGGGCCCCTATCTGGGTGGATAAGGCGGGCGCCAATCTGCGTAGTTGCGCAACTGCGGCGAGCGCAGCGCGTCATGGCGACTCGCCTCACGAGGGCGTATAGGATGGTGTCGCATGCGGCCGTCACGGCCCTGGCCGGCGTGATCCCGGCGGAGGTCCTCACGAAAATGTACGCTGAAACGTACAAGGAGCTGAGGGACCTCCGCCGACGAGAGGGAGACCTTGCGGTCACGGCCAAGGCCACGAGAAGGATACAGGAGACGGCCCGGCACCGGGCCTTTGAACGGTGGTGCGCACTGCTGAGGGCCCCGAATGCGCCGGGAATTCGGACCACCGGAGCCATCCTGCCCTGCCTGGATCAGTGGCTGGAGGGGCACACGGGGCGTTGACGTACTGCCTGTAGGTGCTGACCGGACATGGCTGCTTCGGTCGGTACCTGTGTCGAATCAGAAAAGAACGCACCGCACAATGCCACCACTGCGCGGCCGACGAGGACACTGCGGAGCACACACTGGAGGTGTGTCCGGCGTGGGCTCAGGAACGCGGTGGCCTCGTCGCAGTGGACGCTGATATCCGGCTCCCGGCCATCATTCCGAAGATGGTCGAGAGCCCTGAGGCCTGGAAGGCGGTGGTCTCCTTCTGCGAAGATGTCATGTCGCAGAAGGAGGCCGCCGAGAGAGAGAGAGAGAGAGAGAGAGAGAGAGAGAGAGAGAGAGAGAGAGAGAGAGAGGGGGGG